TTGCATAAACTCGTTTGATCACCATGTTGATCACTAAGATACTACTAATCGTAAGTGAATTTAAGGAGAACTAACTTTAACCCACTGAAATTTGATTTTTAGCCATATAACTTTCGAAAAGACGGTAGAGAAGAGGTTCAGAGGCTCAGAAAGAATGTATGAGTCTGTAATGGGGATTTCCAACTCTAGCCAATTTCAGAGCAAACAGACCAAGTCTAAAAGTAAAACTAAAGTTAACGGAAAAGACAATGATAGCAGTGATGAAATGAACGAACCCATTGCTCCTAGTAAGTTTATTGCTGGAATTTAACTTAGGGATATTTTTTGAATTAGCGAAAAGAATTCAAATTGGAACTGGTGTAATCAAATTAATTATTGAGACGGCATTGCGTTGACACTGAAAATTTTCAAAAATTTTCCCAAAATCAATCGATTAATCATTAATCTTTTCAAAAAAAACTTTCATTCAGAGATTATTTAAAAACCAGAAATTTTTCCATATTTCACTTTTACTCACAGCCATCCTTCAGTTTCCAATCAGTGTTCCGCATCAAAACTAATCAGCAATTTATTTTTTTCTCCGAATTTCTCTGACGATGAATGACTTGCAAATGAATTCAACCAGCAGAAAACAATCCCAAACTCATCAATTTTTTGCAACTTATTGCCTAAAAGACTCACCACTCTGCAATTCATCTCACAGTTTTTGTTTTCATCAGAATGCAATTGAAAGATCAACTTTATCGCTTTTTTTTTCAGCTACCGATCAATATAAAATTGCTCAAAGGCGTTCTAATCGCACAGCAATAAAATTGAACTCTCCGTAAAAAACGAACATTCTTTGATCTTTCAAAACGTTTCGATGATTGATTCAAACGCATCTCAATTTAAAAACTTGACAACGATGTGTGAATGACTGTCATCGTTTTCTCTAGAGTTGCATTTGCGATCATTCTTATCAAAAAACTGATCTTTTGAAAATGACTGACAAGGTTGCTATACCTGTGCAAAGAGACCGAAAACTAATGATATTTTCTCCAAAACTCATACTACTACCTTCTCGAATCAATTGTAAATTTTGTCATTNCTTCATTGAGGAGGTGACACTTCAACTCCTTAGCTGCTTATCTAAATCATTGTTATTACTGTTGTTCTTAAAAAATTTTTGCTAGTTTATGATATCTTCGTTAGTTCTATATAAGTTATTCTCATCGATGAACTCTATTGTTCCGTTAAATCAAAATGTTGTCGTTCTTATACACTCAATTGCAAATCAGTCAGATGAAAACATAAATTAAGGACAGACACCTGTAGCACCAATAATTGATTGATTCATTAGCGGTGTTAATCAATGTAGGAAATCCTGTTTGTCAACATCATCATTATAAGACATCCATTAGAGCCATTAGATGCTACAAGTGGACTAAATTTTGATATTTTGTAGAGAATATGCAAACATTTAGGCGAAAAAAGCAGTCACGAGTGCTATACATACGTTCATAAGATCATAATCGGACAAATACGATTCAATTACCTGTTCTCATTCCAAATTCTTATTATCATCTAAATAGATGCCTTGTCAAGCGGATGTGCGGATGTTTTTATGCATGTGCTTGTGTTGTGTTGTGTTGTCATTCATCTATTTCACAGTTTCATAAATGATTCTTTTAATTAATAAAATCAGTGAAATTCACAAAAACAATTTCATGATTGATTTTTTCACCATCCAAGTTCCGAATGACGTCCTTAATAACGCAATTCCATCGTGATTGCACTTTTCATGGTCATATATAATGAAGAGTTTATC